ACCGGGACACGGGAGGCACCGGGGGGACACCGGGGCACCGGGACACGGAGAGCACCGGGGGGATACCGGGACACGGGAGGCACCGGGGCACCGGGACACGGAGAGCACCGGGGGGATACCGGGACACGGGAGGCACCGGGGGGACACCGGGGCACCGGGACACGGAGAGCACCGGGGGGATACCGGGACACGGGGGGCACCGGGGGGACACCGGGGCACCGGGACACGGGGAGCACCGGGGGGATACCGGGACACGGGGGGCACCGGGGGGACACCGGGCGGGGCACGGGGATGGGACAGGGAGTGGGACGGGGCAGGGACGGGCTCAGTTACGGGGACAGGGACGGGGCAGGCCGGGCCGGTCCCTCGTGACGGGGCTGAGCCGGGACAGGTCGGGGCTTGTGACGGGCACGAGACCGGGACAGGAACGGGGACAGGGACGGGCGGAGACAGGGAGACTGACAGGCTGGGACAGGAACGGGGACAGGGACGGGCGGGGCCAGGCCAGGGGCTCTGCTTGGGGGAACAGAGACAGACAGGGCAGTGACAGGCTGGGACGGGAACAGGGACTGAGACAGCCTAGGATGGGCCGGCAGCATCGTTCGGGGACAGCGATGGGAGGGAAAGGGGGCAGGCAGAGACAGGGACAGGCTGCAGTGGGGATGGGGTACAGGCACCCCGTGTCCTTCCCCAGGCGGGAACTGGGCTGGGGGATGGAGGGGAGAGAGAGGATGGGGGGCCATGTGGGTCCCCTTTGGCCTCGGGACACCCAGCTGAGGGCTGGGGGTGGCCAGTGGGTGTGACAGTGTCAGCAGCCAGGGGTCAGGGTGTGGGGTCCACCCGGGGAGCTGGTGGGTGAGCTGGCAGTGAGGACACATGGGGGGTCAGTGTGCCAGGGTTGTGGCCAGTGGGTGTGGGGCAGTGAGGACAGTGAGGGATTTGGGGTGCTATGGCCATCCTGGGGAACTGGCGGGTGCAGGGCACTGAGGCTGGCCATGGAACAGGGCGCCGTGTCCATTCCCGTGCAGGGCTGGTGGGCATGGAGCAGCGATGGCAGCTGGGGTTTGGGGTGCATGGCCTATCCGGGGGGGCTAGTGGGCATGGGCAGCAGGGGCACCCATGTTTCGGGGAGCTGTGTCCATCCCGGTGTACCCCCACAGCTGGAGCCGAACGTGGCACGCGTGGGGCGCGTGGCATCACGGCTGTGCCAGGAGCTGCGGCTGGCACGGCCGCCCGTGTGCCGCCAGGCCGTGCAGCTGTTCCAGCGCGACGTGGTGGCGGCCTGGGCGCGCTCAGTGCTGCGCCCACCTGAGGCCTGCGGGCTCCTGCTGGGCCCCCGCTGCGGCCACTGGGACATCCTGGGCGCCTGGAACCTGTCCCTGCCCGCCGCCCCCAAGCCGCCGGTGCAGCCCCCCCTGCCGCCGCCGCCCGGTGCGCCCACCGCCCGCATCCTGTTCCTCACTGACCTGCACTGGGACCGCCAGTACACGCCCGGCAGCGCTGCCGCCTGCCCCGACCCGCTGTGCTGCCGCGGGGCCCCCCACGACGGGCCGGGGGCCGCGGGGTTCTGGGGCACCTATGGCAAGTGCGACCTGCCCCTGCACACCATCGACGCGCTGCTGGCACAGCTCCCCAACGCCAGCAGCCACACCAGCGACGGCTCCGGCGACGCCAGTAACGGCACCGGAGGGTTCGCGGCCGCGTACTGGACCGGGGACATCCCCGCGCATGACGTGTGGCAGCAGAGCCGCGGGGACCAGCTGCGGGCGCTGCGCACGGTGACGGCCCTGCTGCGCGCCCGCCTCGGGGGGCTGCGCGTCTTCCCGGCCGTGGGCAATCACGAGGCCACCCCGGTGAACGCCTTCCCCCCGCCCTACGTGCGTGGGAACCAGTCGGCCGCCTGGCTCTACGACGCCATGGCCGAGGCCTGGCAGGGCTGGCTGCCCCCCGCCGCCCTGCGCACCCTGCGGTGGGCACGGCGGGCGGGGTGCTGGGGTACCGG